CATTTGAATGCTTGTGTAAAAATGCATGTAAATTAGGATTGATCATGGAGGCTTGAAACTGACATGCAGAGGTACAGTAATACTTCTTACATGCATGCCTTGTGTGTATAAATCAAAATCAGATATGTGGTTTATTAGAGAAATGATCATACTTTAATTTTATTTAAATGGCTTTTATGTGGGATTTGATCATGCTTCTTAATGCACTTCGACAAGGCACAATGACAATTATATGATTTGATGTCTAATTTAAATGTATAGAAATATATTATTAAGGGGGTACCTTTTCCTTTCAAGATTATCATTCTCTACTTTTTGTAAGGGTGTTCACAAGTTTAGCTTGGTTTGGTTTTGAGGAAAAAAATTAGATCAAATCAAACCAATCAATTTACTATAATATGAGACTTATTTGATTTTTTCCTTTAATTGGTTTGATTTGATTTGGTTTAGGTCTGAATTAAGTTTGGAAATTAAGTTTGGAATTTTTAATGAGATATTCTCACAATCACTAATATATATTCATGTTCACTAATAATTTTTAACTATTAATTATTATTTGCAATGAAAAAAATCTCTTGAGCACAAAATAATATTTTTTAACAATTAATTAGCGTATTCAACTAGTAAAGATCAATGTATTAGCTTTAAAATACTTGATTATAAAATTAAAAATTATCTTAAACAATTATAAATAACATTTAACTAATTATAACTTATTTTTATTGATTATTTACAAATAATTAAACTTGAGAAAGGGAAAAAACTTTTACAAATTTATAAAAATATATATAATAAATATAACAAGATTTGATTCGTTTGGTTCAAGTTTTCAAAAGTAAAAACTTAAACCAAACCGAGCCAATTGATTTTGTTAAAAAAAATTAAATTTTATTTATAATTAATTCATATCAATTCAGGTTGATGTGATTGGTTTTGAAAGCACTTAATTTCTTGTAGTTTCTCAAAATGCATGCTATATATATTCATTGCTTCACTTGAAATGTGGGTAAAACAAGACTAATGCATAAAGCCTTTAAATTGACATGTAGAGGTGCAATAATATTTCATGTTGGCATGTCTTGTGTGTTAACTTTCAAAATTAAATATTCGGATTATTAGAGAAGTGATAGTACTTTGACTCTATATGGATGGTTTTTCTTTGGAATTTGATCATACTTCTTAATGTTTCATACAAGGTTCAATAATAATATGTAACTTGACGTTTAATCTAAATGTGCATAAATATATGTTTCGCCGGGTTATTTTTTTCCTTTCAGCTTAGATTATCTGTGCCCATCCTATTACTTGTAGCCCCCCAAAATATGTGATACGTGTAGGGCGGAACTCCGTTAAAGGCCCCCCTTATTAACATTAATTTTCTATTGATAAGAAAGAGTAATGCATAATATTTATATGTATATGTTAGTCTATTTTTACCCTTTTTCTTTTTAAACGAGGTCATTTGAAATAGCAAATCATTTTTAAGATTGTCCTATGCATGTCAATTTTTTGTAAATAATATCTTATATATTGATTTAAGTTTTACAAAAGATTACGTATTTACTCTATCCTCTCATCAAATCTTAACATTCAATGGGATCTAATTGTACAGGATTTATTATAAAATACTTCGGTACTTGTTATAAAAAAAATAGGTACTAAAATTTATATACTTAATGTAATTTTTCTCAATCAAATCAAAATAACTGAATTTTGATAAAAAAAGTACGTATAAAAGTAAAAAATATCAATAACAAGACATTTGATTTTGATTGTTTAAGTATTTAAGTTTTTCTTTATTATTATTTATCTATTTAGCTTTAATTTTTAAATCACTTAAATTAATAATAATATTTATTGACTTCAAGATCTTGGCCCCCCTTAGATTTAAAGTCTGGTTCTGCCCCTGGATACTTTTATGGTTTATTGCTTCATTTGAAAGCTTTGTATAAAAATGTGGGTAAATTGAGATGGATACATGAAAGCTTTAAATTGACGCGTAGAGATAGAGGTGCAATGATAATATTCATTACAGACATGTCTTGTGTGATATCAATAAAAAATTTGGACATATGACTTGTTAAAAAAGTGACGGTTCTTTTATTTTATAAATGGCTTTTCTTTCGAATTTGATTATGCTTCTTAACACACTTGTACCAGGCTCAGTGACAGTTATTTGATTTGATATATAATTTAAATGTGTAAAAATATATTTGTAACCTCACTACTTTTTTCTTTTAGCTTAAACTATCTATGCCTATAGTTCTTCGTGTAACCCATCAAAATGTGTTACTTGTACCTTTCATTGCTTCATCTAGGATTCAAGTAATAAAATAAAATTGGGACGGTACAGGAATGGTGGTAAATGATAAGTAGCTTTTTGTTCACAAATGATAAATTTTATTTCAAAAATTTAAGTATTATTAGGAAGAAATAGTTTCATAATAAATGAAATTTACCATAAAGTTATTTGAGTGAAGATGATTCATCTAAAGCGGATTTAATTCTAAAGACTTAATTTTGGGTCATAATTTTTAGAAAAGAAAGAAGATAAATAAGGTTAATTGGAATTAAATAAAATTATGTAAGATATTCTCTCAATTATGAAAATTTCATTTGAACGGAATACACCAGCATGTCTTTTAGATTTTTAGTTAAATCTTGAAAACAAAACAAAAAATAGAAAAAAAGGGTATTAAATAATATTGTTCAAAACAAGAAAAGAGAGAGAGAGAACCCAGGCATTTTTCTTTTTGGGGGCCAAATTAAAGCCACGTAATTTGAAAACCAATTCCCCCAGCCCATCCCTCCAGCCCATCCTCCGCAAACATTTCAATATATATATATTTATACAGGAAAATTGAAACCAAGGGCCCTGGACAATCTTATTATCCTATTTGTTAAAAAAGACCAATAAATTTTAATTTAACACTACAATTCTTGAGGTCCTAATTGTAAATAATTTTCTTGGTAAAAAGATGAAAATGACCATCGCAATGGAAAGGAAATTAAGCACAAATTGAAAGAAGCTTACGCACGAAGCTTGAACATCTAATTTTAGCATGCAAGAGTTGGTAAGCTGAAAGTTCCAAATTCCTTTCTCTGTCCTTGTCGTCGTAATTGAATTGATTTTGCATTCTTTCTTTCATTCATGTTGATTCTGGTTCTATTGTGTGGGTATCAATGATTTGTCGTGGGAGGTATTTTGAGAGATATTAGATAGATATTTGAATTCAAAGTTTACGGTGTCACTAAAAATTCATTAAAGATAAAAATAATTTACAATTGAATTTAAGTATTCAAAAACTTGGGAGAGATTATAAAATTTTAATTTAAAATTTAATTGTCTAGATTAAATTTATATTTATTAGATTGATGATAAATAGATTTATTAAAATTTTTTATTTTAATAAATATAAAATAAAAATAAAAAGTTTTAAATTTATATAGTTCAAGTCTTGTCAGACATAAAGATTATCATGGTGCTTATTCTCTGACAACTATAAAAAACAATCTAATCTAATATTATTATAAAAATTTTTTATTTTAATAAATATAAAATAAAAATAAAAAGTTTTAAATTTATATAGTCCAGTTCTTGTCAAACATAAAGATTATCATGGTGCTTATTCTCTGACAAATATAAAAAACAACCTAATCTGATATTATTTTTTTATAATTTTTATATTAATAAATATAATATTAAAAAATAATTAAAAATTAATTTAACAAACGACAAAGCTTATGCCAAAGTAAAATGAAAGGCTCATATTGGAGTCGAAGTGGTAAGCACCTCATTATAGTTGAAAATAAGACTTGAAGATTTTATTTAGATAAGAGTTTAAGTTTTAAAAAATTAGGGTTACTTTTGAGAAATCAAGTTTCAAGACTTGGTCCCAATGGGCTTCAAAAAAAGGAGCTCAAGTTTAGGCAACATTTCAAATACTATTTCCAAAAGATCAATACTAATTTAAATACCCTCTTCATTTAAAAATATAAGATATTTTTAACAGAATTTTTCTTTTCAATAAATTAGTTGCCTATTTTTAAACTAACATATCTTTTTATATTTACTTCTATTAAACACCCTACAATAAATATAAAGTCATTATTTATAAAAATATTTTTAAAAATAAGATAATAATTACACCTCAAAAGATTAAAAATATCTTATATTTTTAAATATCCAACTACTTAAATTTTTTTTTTATATTTTTGAACGCATGGCATATTGTGTTGTTTAAATGATTGATGTTGATTTTTTTTGTTATTTATTTTAACACTACATTGATAGATTTTTTTTTATTAATTTCTTAAATATAATTATTTTATAAGGTTTATTTATTTTATTATTTTTTAGAAGTTGCCTATTTTTGGGACCCATTTCTAATCTCTGCATTTAATGCATACTTTTTGAGTTTCCCCAACTTCCAAGATTTAGATTATCCAATCCAAATTGGATCCCACCAAATTCGACTTAGGTCAGATCAAATGTTGGTTCTGTCAACTTCAATAAAATTGCAATTTATGATGGCTTTATGATAAAGGTAATTGAATTAAATTTTTTTAAAAAAATTTTGATTATCAATCTATCACTGTTGTTGAACTAATAAAAATTTTAAAAGATTTCAACCTACGTTGAAATACTAAAATTTATAGTCATATTTTATTTAAATTTTATGAAAGCTCTATCTTTTATTAACTGAAGCTTTTTTCATAATCATCTTCTCACAACTATTTTTAATAATATCAGACACTTTATCATATAAAATTAAAATATTATTTTTGATCACGTATATAAAAAAATTAATAAATGTATCAGCCTAATGGCTAACAAGCCATCTACTAAAAATTTTGATGTTATTTATTTGACAGTCTCTGTCTATTGATTGTAAAATAAAAACCTTGAGACTTTTAATATTACGTGATCCCGATTTCTGCACGATTTTACCGTCTTGCACTGGGGAAAAAAAAAAGATTATCCAATCCGGCCAGGAAAGCATATCCAAGTATCCAACCCGACCGCCTCGTTGGCTGGTTCCAAGGAGGGGGGAAGAAAAAGAAAGAAAGCGAGATCAGACTTCAGAGTTCCGAAGCTCGAAGCCGATGGCGAAGCCGGAAAGTAGCAACAGAGGCTCCAGATGGTCACTCAAGGGAATGACTGCTCTTGTCACTGGTGGAACTCGTGGAATTGGGTTCGATTTCTTTTCTCCTTTTCTTTTCGGCGATGTATAATTTTTTCCTACTTACGCTTTAGCGTGGAACCATGCCTCTCTACCTGAAAGCGCTCCAAGTCTACTTTAGGTTATATTCTTGGTGTTCAGGCATGCTGTGGTGGAGGAACTAGCCGACTTTGGCGCTACCGTGTACACCTGTTCTAGGAACGAGGAGGAGCTCAATAAATGCTTGAAGGAGTGGCAAGATCAAGGCTTTACGGTTTATGGGTCGGTTTGGGATGTGTCGTCTCGGCCCCAGAGACTGAAGCTTATAGAAGACATGGCTTCTAAACTCAACGGCAAGTTAAACATCCTTGTGAGTTCTCACCCAAGTTACAGAAGACATAGCAGTGTTTGGTCAAGGGACGCACGAAAAGGGAATGATTTTAGGGGGGAGGGGAGGGAGGGGCAAGGGAAGGGGGAGGGATTTTAATATCCTCCAAATCCCCCAATTTGGAGGGGAGGGCAGGGAAAATTCATCTCCATTTTATTTTAACCAAACAAGGTGCATTCTTCGATTTTTCCAATCAAACAGGTCCCCTCCCCTCCCTCCAAACCTAACAGAAACTTAGTCAATAAGGCCTTTTTATTCAGTTGCTAAGACCTTTTCTCCTATGCTTTCGAGGCACTAAGAAGGCCAAATTGATACAAGTATATTTTCTGGTGATAAAAATTGAGATATCCAACTTAGCTATCCATCTCCCCCCCCCCCTAACTCTCTTTATATTGGTAGAAATTGGCATACTTCAGTTACAATCGCTTGACTTATTTACCTTGTAAGCATGGCATCATTTGAAAAACTGCACTCTAGAACAGTTTTATTTTTCTGTGAAAATTGGATTCTGAAATATGTTATAATTGCATCATGTGAGCTTAGGTAAATAACGTTGGAACAAATATGAGGAAGCCAACAGTTGATTATAATGCCGAAGATTATATGAAGTTGATGAACACTAACTTGGACTCGGCATACCATCTATGCCAACTTGCGTATTCCCTTCTCAAAGCATCTGGAAATGGAAGCATCGTGTTCATTTCCTCAGTTGCAGGTCTGTCAAATATAGGTACCGGAACCATTTATGCTGCAGCTAAAGGTGAGTTGATGTTATAATTTGGTGTTATCGTTTGCTTAAAAATGATGTTTACAAAGTATATTGAAAGAGATTCCTCAAGGGGCTCAATATGCTTCATTTTACAGCTGCAATCAATCAACTTACGAAAAATCTTGCTTGTGAATGGGCAAAAGACAATATAAGGAGCAACTGTGTTGCACCGTGGTATACAAAAACCTCACTCGTGGAACATGTAATGCTCCTACACCCTGTCTATTCTATATGTTTTAGTTTCTGTTCCATGGCCTTGTTGCTTCTGTTTTGTTTTAAGATGGACCATTGAACCTTGATGTGAAATTTGATTAAAGCAGAAGTATGTTGACAGATTGAAAAATGAAGTTGCCTTAAATGTGAAATCTGTCATTTGTCCCCCCCCAAAAAAAAAAAAAAAAAACTAAAGAAAGAGAACTGCTTATTTGTCATTGACTCATTATTTGATTCAACGTTGACTACTGATAGTATATATGCTTTTGTCTCGTTAATGTTGTCTTCACTATCCTCATCTGTCTGTGATGTCTTGAAAAAAATTATCAACATAGCTTTTTTAAGTTATTTTTTATACTCCAGTTTTGTATTAGGATCACCTGGAACGTAGGCATGTTTGAGATTAGAAGAGTATCTAACACTATTCTTAATACCCTGTAGTTCTTTAGATTTCTGTTACGAAATCTATTCTGAGTTCATGTGTGGATGACTCGTATGCATTCTGCTACATTCTGGTCTGTTTCTCTGTTTTGCTTCTCTTGTTCCACGCACTGCTTCCGCTGCATCATCTCCATTATTTTATTTCCAATCTAGTGATTTCCATGCAAGAGATGTATGTCATGTATATGCTTGAGAAAACATAGCATAAATGTAACCTGTAGAGTCAAATAATAATTGAAAATACCAAGAACAGTTAAACAAAAATTGAACTAGGGATGGAATGGTTTCAGGTTATATTTCAGTGGATATATTGCTTAACCTCCTTTTGCTTCTACTTACTTTATTTGTTTTAAGGGTTTATTACTGGCTGAGCTACATTACAAAATAGTCTAGTCAACGAAAAGCAGGGAATAATTACTAATTGGACTTAATATGGTTCTTATGCGTTTTCTATCGAGTTTCTCAACAAAATCATGACAAGCCCCCCCCCCCCAATTGGTCAACAGCACATGATTGGGTCTTTCAAAAAATTTTCCTCCATGTCATTTTTGTTGGAAAACTTGATTGGAAACGCTTGAAGCGCTTCTTAAATTGAGTGCGTTTGCATTTTGCATGTTATGATTTCATTTTTTTTTTTCATATTCATTTTTTTGGGCCATATTCTTCCTGCTGCTGTCGGCTTATTGAGTGCCGATGGGTTTATTTTGTTGACTTAGACTGTACATCATTACATCTTTTGTAAAGGAGGACTTATTATATGATCTTGAAGTATCATGTCATTTGCACTCCTACTAATAAGAACAATCCAAATGTAAAGGAGGGTTGGAAAGAGATTAATGAAGAAAGAGAAATGCATGTACATTCAAAAGATAAAGTAATTATTAATTTATCTGATCCAAACAATTTTTATCAGCTAGAGTGCAAATGATGTGGCACCTGTAGAGTACTATGTAATAATTTTTCCATATAAAGATAAATACTAGAATGTTTTAATCCACTGAGGTCGCTACTTCACAAGGCAATTGTTGTAATTAATAGTTACTATTGATTGTGTCAGACCATGCTTAAGAAAAAAATTATATGGGAGAAGTAAATCGACTTATTGGAAAGGAGGTAACATGGAAAATATGGATGAAAAACCTTGAAAATTATCCCCACTTCAACTCCCATGTAACTCTGCCTGCCTTCAGGTAATCTTTACCTATTAATGACATCTGACTAATTTTATACCTGCCACTTTCTATTAGGGATTACTCTATGCCTTTTTAAATCTTCTACCACTTTTATAATATAAATTCAAGAAGCATCCGTGATAGTGTGGACAAATAGGAAATTCTCGGAAAGAGGATCTCAATATTGTGCAAGTCTGGTTAGATGAACTTTGCAGCCTCCTTTTGGACTTGTTCAGGGGACAGCCTCCACCCTCCCTCTTACCTATTTATGTATAACGTTTAGATGAAAATAAAGATTCATTTGGTAATAGTTACTAATGGTGTTTGACTGTGATAATAGTTGCTTGAAGACAAAGAGTTTGTGAATGAAATCCTAGCTCGAACGCCGATAAAGAGAATAGCAGAAGCACATGAAGTGTCATCCTTGGTGGCTTTCCTTTGTCTACCTGCTGCATCCTACATCAATGGACAGGTTGTTTCTGTTGATGGAGGAATGACCGTCAATGCATTTCAGTTCAACATGAAATCAACCTAAAGCAATATTTTCTTTTCCGGACTGATGTTGCCCTTCTGTTGACAGGGTTTAGCCACCCATTCAACTAAGATGTGTGGAATTTTTGGCCTGTTATTGTTGATTGTAATTTCTAATTTGTATTCGTCACTGTTTAGTGTGACTTATTTAACATGCTAAAATTAAACGTTTTTTAATAATTTAAACGTTTTATTATTACTTGATAGTTGATAGTACTAATAAAAATTGAATGATGATAAATTATATATATATATATATATATATATTTATATCCCATTTGGTTTTATAGCTTTTTATATTTAAAAAGTACTTTCTTACTTTCAACATCCGATTTGATATCTCAAAAAGCACATTCAGGTGAGGCAGGAAATTGATTTGGCTAGTGAAAAAATCTGGAGCTTTTGAAATTGAAAGTGAGATGTTGTATATTTAATGGGAGTGTAATTGTGTATTTAATTTTTATTTGATCAAGTTACCCTTTGTTTCTTGGTGTCTTTCTTCTCTCTTTTTTAACGTTTGCAATTATTTGCTTCTGCCTATACTTTATGGTGCTTGACAGTGGAATCCTATATTTCCAAGTTGAGTTCAAGTTTTGGGGAATAGGAATGGATGGTTGAGTTTTGACTGGGAAAAAAAAGGGAGTGGGGATGGATGGTTGGAAAAAAAAAAAAAATTAGAAGATAGGAAAATTCTATACAATTTTTTTAAAAAACTAATTCAGATATAAGATTATACATTATAAATTGAACAATTAATCTGGTTAATTTTTAATATTAATGTATATTGAATTAGTTATATGTCAAATGTATCAAACTTTAAAATTTTTATTCTTATTATTTACATATCAAATTTTATGTTGCTTATATTTTTATTAAATAAATTTTTTAAACGTTTTTAATATGAAATATTTGTATAACAAAAATTATAAATCATAAAAATTAATGTCTTTTTTTTAATTATATATTCAAAAGCACTTTACATTTTATATAATTCAAATAATTTTTACTTTATCAACTTAAATTTTGAAAAAAATATATTTAAATATAATTTTATTTTCAAAATTAATTTTTATCAAATGAGACGAACTGATTCTTGGCCAATGAAAAACCAAATTGACAATTACATTTCCATTGTTTGATATTTTAAATCTTAATATGTAATTTTTAAAATTGATATTTGTCAATCATTTATTGAAAACTTTGTCATGAGTTTAACAATCATTAAATTGATATTTTAAGACTTACTTGCCATTCTCTCTTCCTTCTTGGCTTGATATTCCATGTAACCTCATTCATGGGACTAAAACAGTTTTATCTCGTGTTTCATCTTAAAAAATTAATGAAAATAAATTTTTATCCCATATCTTATCTTATTCTAAAAGCTGTCCAATTTGAGATTGGAATGAGATCAAGACATTTTAATAAAGCACCAAATATGGAAGAGAAATTATATAACATAATAACAACACTTATTAAATTAAAAAACTAGCTAAATCCAAAAACAAAACACAAGTACATAAATTCTGAGTTACAACAACTATAATTTAAAATGAAAGAATAAAATCACAATCACAATAATTTAAAGCTAAACACCATTATAGAAATTGATGATTTTGCTGCGGCCTCCATTAACAATTGTTTCTCCAACTTTCTTTTGCCCTGACATCCTGAGCTAGAACCTTTGTTCTGAATGGAATTATAATTTGGGTAAGAAAAAGAAGCCTTGGGTAGTATTGAATTATTACTTGTGGGTAACAAGTTGGATGAGATATTGATGGGTTGAGGGCAGACTTGTTGAAGTAGGGGCATGCTGAACTGGTAAGACTTTAGACGATTCGGAGAAATCCATAGGCGTGAGATGCATGCTGAAAGTTTCTGGGTTTCACAAAGCGACGCAGAAGGATCGGGAGAAATTGATTATGATTGTGTTGGTGGGTCTGAAAATCTGTGAGAGGGCGCTTACGGATGAGGCTCAACATCTCAAGGTTTGCCGGCGATCTGCGACGAGTGATCTAGAAATTGGTTGTAACTTATTTTCTCATATTTGTAACTCCATCTGGTAAGATGTATAACGCCTTATTTATAATATATATATATATATATATATATATCAATTAGTTAGAAATAGTTTATTTTCTCAACCTAATGGTTCTTTTGATTTTGGAAAAAAATATAGATTACTCTTTTTCCTACACATCCACAGCCACCGCATGACATAATGGAGAATAGCTAAATAGTTTGGATTTATAACAAAATTAATAATCCATTTCCCACATCAATAATCTTTTGACTTTTAACTTATAATTAGATGGGTTAATCATTCAAATTCAAAACCAAGGCTTATTCATTTTTGTTTGCCTACAACTGAAGCCACCAAACTCTATCCATTTATTAATTAAACTCAATTGTAAACTTATTTTGGTGTGAGCCAAGAATACAAACACGAATTTGGGCCCATTTCAATAATAATAAAATTTTTACAATTTTTTATATATTCATACATAAAACCAAGATAAGGAGTTGCAGATATAATTAGATAGAGTTGCAAATTTAAGAAAATAAATTGCGAATAGTACAAAATTCAATGTTGAAATATTGTATTTATAAATAAAAATATGAAATCAAGTTACAAGTTAAAATAAATGAAGTTACGAATTTAGGAGAATAAGTTGTGAATTTATATATTTAAAATTTTTTTATTATAATTATCTGGGATATTTGAGTCTTTTTCAATGTATCAAAATATTAGCTGAAGATCTCAAGGACTTGCTTTTGTATTTTGAAATTTGATGGGATTTTATTATAATAAAATTGTCTCTTTGAAACCTAGTTGTCATTCCTCCAATATAATAAGAGAACAACATCCCATATAAGTTATTTTTTCCAGAAATATAACTTTGATGAGAGTATTTGGATGATCCTCCACAGAAATAAGTAATTACGTGTCTGTTTGAATAATCTTTTTAATCAATTTTAAAGATCAAAATTATAATTTTATAAAAAATATATCCAAACATCTCTATTACATATTAAAATTAGTTATATACCTAAAATCATGTTTTCCTAAAAATATCTAAACACCTATTATACATGTCAAAATTAATTTTGAAGCCAAAATCATGTTTTTCTTTAAAATATCCAAACACATTTATATATATCAAAATCAATTATAAACATAAAAATATGATTTGTAAAATAATTTAGATGATTCTTGGATAATTTTTTAGAAAAGTAAAATTAAAAATATGAATTGAAAAATAATAATAACAACTTATGAGATAATTATAGTTATAGGTTCATAATTGATTAACATGGCATAATCAACTTTGAATCCAAAACCATATTTTTCTTTAAAATATCCACACACTTACATCAAAATCAAATATAAGCCAAAAAATATGATTTATAAAACAATTTATATGATTTTTGGATAATTTTTTAAAAAAGTATAATTAAAAATATGAATTGAAAAGAAGTTAATAGTAGTTTATGAGATAACTATAATTTTAAATTTATAATTAATTTTGACACGAATAAAATATTTGAATATTTAAAAAAATTATAATTTTAAATTCATAATTGATTTTGACAAGTATAATAAGTATTTGGATATTTAAAAAAATTAATTTATAATTAATTTTAACATATATTGGATCATGATTTCACTATATTTTTAATTCTGATTAAAATTAATTTTATTAAGTAATTTTATAAATTAATTACAAACCTCATAGCACAATTAATTATGTTTAAAATTAATTATATTACTTTATTTTTTTACCATCAATTATTCTCAACTAAATCCAAACACACCCCTAAGTGTAATTTTCGCGTTCTATAGCAGGTAGTAACTGATGCCGCGTTCGTGAAGTCCATGTTCACCCGCCCTCGCCCTCCGCCTAACGGCATCCCCACTTCCTTTCCCGTCTTCTCCCTCCTCACTCTCTCCCATTCTCCGCCACGGTTCTCTCCCCTTGAGCCTTGATCACTCTGTGACCCAATTAGCTGCGCTCAGGGCTTCTTTCGCCCTTCTCCCTTTCTCCAGTCCTGGCCTTCATGGTCTTTTTTACCCCTAGGGTTTTAGTGTCTTGCTCGTCATGTCCCCTAAACCCTCGGGAACCTCTGAATTGGAAGAAAGACTGGGTGATTTCAAGCCCTTCTCGGAGTCGGGATCGTGCTCTCGGTCCATCAGCGAGACGGTTGATGGGTCGCATCAATTTACCATAAAGGGATATTCTTTGGCCAAAGGGATGGGTGCTGGTAAGTATATAATGAGCGACACTTTCAGTGTTGGTGGTTACGATTGGGCCATATATTTTTACCCGGACGGCAAGAACCCAGAGGACAATTCCACGTATGTTTCGGTTTTCATAGCCTTGGCGAGCGAGGGAACCGATGTGAGAGCTTTGTTTAAATTGACTTTGGTGGATCAGAGTGAGAAGGGGAATGATAAGGTACATAGCCATTTTGATCGCCCGCTGGAGAGTGGACCCTATACGTTGAAGTATAGAGGCAGCATGTGGTATGAATTTCGTGGAGTGCTTGTTCTTCTTTTGGCGTCAATTTTTGTTGTTAAATTCTGATATTGGGAAGGTGTTTAGTGGGCATAAACCTTATATTGTGACAATTTGGGGTTTAGGGGGTTTGATTCGAGTGGATGATTTTCCTTCTGGCGCTACTAGAAACGGGGCTTAGTCATTAGTGAGAACAGTGCAAGGTATTGTTATTAAATCTACTTATCTTAAAAAAGATCACCAATTCAATGATTTATTTTTTATTTTTTGGAAAATTAATCTTTTGGTTCCTATAATGTTGACTTGTTTGAAATTGAACAGGTTGGATTCAGTTGTAACTTAGCATTTTTATTTGGTCCTTGTATTTTTGACTCAATTAAAACTTAGTTCTATTGAGTAAAGACTCCACTGAGTTTTATAGGTTTGACTTACTTGTAATTCACTTTTTAAACTTAGACTTGGTGTAACTTAATTTTTATAGTTTCAGTGCCTAATCATTTGGTCCTTGTATTTTTTGACTCAATTAAACCTTGGTTTTATTGAGTGAAGAGTCAATGAAACTTAGTCCCTAAAGTTTTGACTTAGTTGTAATTTAGTTCTTAAATTTCAACTCGGTGCAACTCAATTTTTATAGTTTTGTTGGTTCCTATACTTTAGAAAATAAAATTATAAAGACTCGAGTGTTTTTTTTTTTTTGGGAAGCTTAGAGACTAATGTTTTAAATAGTTAAAACTATATGGATGGAGTTGTATTGGATTAAAAGTTAAGGACTGAGTTACATTTGAGTTAAAATTATAAGGACTGAGTAGAATTGAGTTAAAGTTTGGAAATTGAATTACAACCGAATCAAAATTATAGGATTAAATGATTAATTTTCCCTTTTTGAATAATTTTCGGTTTGGATATAGTTTTATTGGTTCTGCACATTGACGCGCTAGTTTATTGGAGGTGAGAAAATGGTAAAGACTTGCTTGATTAGATTAGTTTTGGTGCTCTTATGTTTGTCAATTTAAAATAAATATGAACGGAAGAGGGTGATTAGTTGATTAATCCATTGCTACGAACTTGGGTTTCCAGCAAAGGCAATGCTACTACTCAAGAATTGTCTCTAACATAATTTTGTTTTATTGTTCTCTCAAGGTAGTTGTGAAATTGGTGTTTTAAAGGTCAGTATTCCAGGATATGCAATTTCAGAATCAGGTTGGGTGAGCATTCTGTGTTTGACAATTGGTCTGTGCCCTGATGCAGCAGATTTATTCTCAGTTGTTGTCTCAAGTGTTAATTTTTTTTATATAATAAAAGAAAGCTTCATAAGCCTTTTATGTTTTGTTTATTGAGAAAATAATTTTTTTTCTTTCATTCTTTTGAATGTTAATACCCCACCTAGTGGGATAAGACTTGTTGTTGCTGTATTCTTTTGAATGTTAACCCCACTTGGTGGGATAAGGCTTGTTGATGATGTATTCTTTTGAATGTTAGGGCTGGGAATATTACAAGTCTTTTACCCACCTTTCTATATGCATTTCAGGGGTTACAAAAGATTTTTCAGAAGAACACTATTAGAAACTTCAGAGTATCTGAAAGATGATTGCCTTGTCATGCATTGCACTGTTGGTGTGGTCCAAACACGTTTTGAGAGAAGTAAACAGAGTATTATTGTACCACGGTCAGACATGGGTCAAGATTTTAAGGGCTTGTTAGAAACTGGGGTTGGTTGCGACATACTTTTCAAGGTCAAGAATGAAAGTTTTGAAGCTCATAAGTTGGTACTTGCAGCCCGGTCTCCTGTGTTTAGAGCACAGTTTTTTGGACTTGTTGGGGATCCTTGCATAAATGAAGTAGTGGTGGAGGATATCGAGCCATTTATCTTCAAGGTTGTGCTTTTAACTTTCTTATTGACTATCGTGGGATCTAAAGAGTGAAAGAAAATGGCGGAAGTGCACCTTTGGTCCTTTATGTTCATAAAAGATTTCATTTTGGTCTTCTAATTTTGTACAGTGTTTTTTTTAGTCCTCTAACCTGAAAACCATTAGTTTTATTAACAAAAAAATGCCATTGAACTGTTAAATGTTGATAAAACATTATCAAATATTGACATATTAAGTTTAATTTTTTAAGTAACAATAATTGGCACAAAAAATCATCATATGAGACTAACAATGTTAAAATTAGAGGATTGAAAAGATATTTTATAAAATTAAGGGACTAAAATGGAATCTTGTATAAAATTAAAGGACTGAAATGCATTTCTGCTGAAAAAATCAATCACATTTTTATTTCATAAGAAATGGTTATTGTTTTAAAATTTATTGTTTAGTGGGTTGGTTGAGTGAAAATCCTTTTTCTGTCTTAGCAGGTAATGCTTCTCTTCATATATACCGACGAACTTCCTGATATCTATAATGCTGTGGATTCAGTGGCACTGCCCATGTGCACACATACCGCCATGATGCAGCATCTCTTGGCTGCTGCTGATCGGTATAATCTTGATCGTCTGAAATCATTATGTGAATCAAAATTGTGTGAAGATATCAGCACTGATACTGTTGCAACAACACTTGCACTGGCTGAGCAACACCACTGCCCCGAGCTTAAGGCCATCTGTTTAAAATTTATTGTGAATCCATCGAACTTGGGAGGTGTGTTATCCATATAGAGTGTATTAGATCCTTTTACCGTAAGTTGCATGATATATATTAGCTTTTGTGGTGTTTCCTCACACTTTTCATATCAATCAATTATAAATTTCGTTTGTTGGTTTTGTATTTTCCAGAAGTTGGTAGGATAGATATACTAATAATATATGGCCAAATACCAATTTGAATGTCAAGATTATGGTAGAGCTTTATTGGGAATACCACTACCAACACATTCCACCCATTTCCATCCCTTCTGGTTTTGCGGACAGGGAGGCCGGATGGCCCCTGGGTGTTTAACCTTTTTGCAAAGATTTAAAGCATACTTCATTGGCAAAAAAAAAAAAAGATTCCAAGTATACTCGCAGCCGATCACACCTCTTTTGCTTTTCTTCTTTTCACTATTGTAATGATTTTTCTATTTCATTTTTTAACATTCTATCTGAACAAAGGGTGCTTTTCATTATATATATGTGGTCTCCAGGGTTTATCACCTTGTTTGTGCCTTTTGGAATTCCTTGAGTTTTCTACATTATGATGTATAAGCTGGTTTCCTACAGCGGTAATGCAGTCTGAAGCATTCATGCACTTGAAAGAGAGCTGTCCCTCCATGTTGTTGGAGTTGTTGGAGGCATTTGCATCGGCAGATGAAAACTCGAGCCAGACATTGAGCAGGAAGAGAAGTGGCAGCAGCATATATGGGCAAGATTTAGCAGATGAGGGTGCTGCCGAATCAGTTAATCCAAACGTTAGACGTGTCAGGAGGCGGGCATAGTTTGGTTCGCAGTTGAGGGTGCTGCTGAGTCAGTTAATCCAAAAAAAAAGAAAAGAAAAAAGGCTTGACAACACAAAATATTGTAGGACAGAACAGTTTTCCCCCCCTTTTGGGGCGGGAGAGCTGTTTCTAATATCCTCGACAATGTTACCAGACAGTAAATAGCTGATATTTTTGTAATTATCTCTTGGAAAGAATATGGTACTAGTAGTGTTAATTGTTAAGAAACATAGCTGAATGCTTGAACTTTTACCATATAAAAATTGGCCCTATCTTGTGCTAGGATTTGCTAGGTGATTGAATCAATCGTGCCAAATGGATTGTAGCCAATAAATTCATTGAAGTCCACCTTGCCTACTCCATTTGAATCTGTTCAGGCCACTCTTCAATGTTATTTGTTTATATATAGAGAGAATTATAACTATAGGTGAGGATATCAGACAAACAGATGAGGATGAAGCTATGGTGATTCACTGATTTGTTCCTTCAAAATGGATAGTATAATCATGATAGTTTAGCTCTCAATTATGTTTTTAATCTTAAATACCAGAGTAAGCTAATAAGAAAAGCTCAGCACATGACTAAAGGGTTGTCATGCATGCGAGGATAGAAACTGAGCAAGAATCATAAATAGATGAATGTACAATGCCAAAGTTAAAAAAGTGTTAAGAGAACCATGCTTTCAATTATATTTTGAGATAACTTTGAAGTCACAATATTATGTGGAGTATTTATTTATCTATGTTAAATTTTGGAATAAAATACGTAGAGCATGGAGAAGCTGTCGAGGGTGGAGGAATTGAAGTCAGGGAGAGAGGGAGGGGTTGGGCCAGAGAAAAGTGCCAAATCACCATGATTGGGTAAACCATATTCCTTGAGGAGGCCGTCGAGCTTCCACTCAGGCATGTCTTGGTAGTCTTTGAGGTTGTATCTTGGGTAGTGAAGAGGCATCTGAAAGAAGCCCACGCTCTTGTTTTGCGGGCTTTGCATTCTCTTTTCTCTCTACTTGTTATCATAGATTTGCCCTGAGATATATATTCTACGGAACACAAAGGGTCGTGAAGGCATGAAGGGCAGTGAAGGTGTCACGTGAATGGGTTGGCTCACCTATCAGAATGGAAGAATGGGTGGTACTAAAGATGTGACCAGGGATGCCTTTTCCTCCCTAAAGCAACGCAGATGCATGTTGAAGATGAAGGAGCGAGGGGATTCTGCCATATATAGTTGTAAATTGATTTTTAATTTCATTAATTTAATTAAATCACATTTAAAAATCTCCGTCTTTCAGCGGACCTGATTGGCAGTCTCTCTTTATGCATATGATTAAAATAATCTCGAGGTTTGTTGGTCAGCGGAGGTGGGGTTATTGAGGAGCAAAAGACACGCAAATGAATAAAAAGTAGGGCTGAAGATGGTATGGGAGTAGAATGGTGTAGGTGAATATTAAATGTGAGAGTGAGACTGGGGTGATAGATCCAAATACGCCTCTTAATCTTATGGTGGTGTTGTGTATTAGTTTAGGGCGAAGATATTGATTGGCCTTCGATGTCAAGTTGCAGGCCATGGCAAACCATTTTAATATCACACTATTCGGTGGGGGCCTTCTAGAAAGCTGGTTGGTGTTGGTCAATGCCAACCTCGCGTCTTGCCTCCGTTTGTTCTGTTCAAAGTCAAAATACATGCCTGTTCGGATTTCAGAGAGATCGTCGAGTGAGAATGAAGAAACGTGCCTGCCAGGCTGTTTAGCTTTTGGAGAATTGGGATGATCGAGTGCAACGATAAAATATGAATATCAATTGTAGGCACAATTATTTTATTTTGTAATTTTATGAGTGTGTATGTGTGCGCTTGTAAGTCTGGAACCCCGCAAAAACATGCGAATTCGATGTTACGGCGGTAATGCGTGGTATCCCCTTAGCCAGCTGGACAAGGGAAGGGAAGACATGTCAAGCCTTTCAATCTTTCGGCCTTACGTTTCTTTTCAAAAAATATTAATATAACCCCCCTAAAAAGAAAGTAAAAAAAAAAAAAATCTGCCTCTATTGTAAATTGCCTGCCCGGGTTAGAGCTGCACAAAAGTTTTTTCCAAACCTATCTAATCTGAACAATTTCAATCCGCTCTGATCTTGTAAAAAAATAAATTCAAAAGATTAAAAGGACAAAAAAAATTTGATTTTTTCTTTAAGTTAAACTAGATAGAAGACTGAAATATTAGACTACTTGATTCAGTGTAGTTCTATAAAGTAATTTTAGTATAATTATAATTATTTTTAATATAATTTGTACTTTGAAGTCTTTAAACACAAGATTTTATCTTCATTTTACGTTTTACCCTTCAATTTTTAGTGAGTTAACCCTAACTAGAATTTTAAAGACTCTTCATTTTATATATGTATACATAAAATTTGAGCCATTTGTTTTTATCAAACAATTTGTTGAATACTATGAATTTGAGTTTAATGAATTGCAATTAATGTTTTTGTTTTGTTGAATATTGTTATGGATTTATTATGATTAGATTTTAATGTTTTGTGATAAATTTTAGGGATAATTACATATAGGTTCCACCCAAATAAATTATCTAATCTTGTTTAATTTTAGGTTAAGCCTAGAGTTGCCTAACCTTTTTTTTTTTTTTTGAAAGGGATGTTAGTTGAAAGTTAGGGCCATACAAAAGTTTTTCAATCTAGTTCAGTTCGATCCAACTTGAGACAAACTCGATTCTGTTCGATTTGGATAAAAATTGGTCTTTCAAGATAAAAAAGACCAAATTCTTTCTTTGAGTTGGACTAAATAAGAGATCGAGTATCTGATTCATTTGATTCGGTCCAGTCTTATAAATTTATTTAATATAATTATAATTAATTTATTAATTATTATTACAATAAGTTAATTTATAATAATAATTAGTAATTTTTTGTATTTTATACTTGTAAAGTTATGAAAATTGAGCAAAATTTCAGCATTAATCACCCATAATTTTCTCCTTTTATTAGTGAAATTTGGTATTAATTTGACATAATAGACTTTAAACATGTTTAATGTTATTAAAAGTTGTTTAATTTAAATCATTTATGTTATAATTGAAATACTTTTTTGTTGTTGTTAGAGATTGTTGTGACTTTATAATTATTGTTGTGATAAATTTTATGTGACTATAAATAATTTTATTATATTAATTGAGTTTATTCTGTCAAAATAAATTAATAGCTCTCATATATGAAAAGGAAAATAAATAAAGTGAAATATTGTACAAAATTGAGACCATTCTTTTAATCATACTAGACCAATCTAATCTTTTTTGACTTTGGATTATATTAAGACTAAATGAGACTATAAGTTATTTAATTCATTTATTTCTATGCAAAGGACCAATTTTATTTTTTTTAAACAAAAGGACCCGCGTATCGTACGTAGACGCGCGGTATTTGGTTCTGTTTGTTTCTATTGTAAATTACACAAGTCTTTCTCAATTTACGAAAATTACTATTAGTTTTTACGTCCGGTTTAATTGATCTTCCTTGTTCTTTTTCTTCAATATCCTCTCCATTAAAATTGTGTAATACTATTCATTCATTTTTTTTTAAGATGAGCTCTTTAAAATATAAATTAAACAAGAACAAACAACATTAGACAGTTGGGTTGGGGACTGGGGAGGCTTATAAATAAGAACAGATGCGCGCCAGAATGGTGTTGCCTGAATTTCTTGCAGGATGGAATCCACGTCTTACAAGTTTCTCCTCTTCACGGCGGCGCTGCTAGCATGCGCCGGCTATGGACTGTCCCTCACGCGCTGCCCTAACTGCGGCATCACCTCAGTACCCTACCCCCTCAGCATCTCTCCCAACTGTGGCGACCCCTCCTACAAGATCCGCTGCAGCTCCGGCTCCCTCGTCTTCGACACCCTCAATAACTCCTACCCCATCGAGTCCATCGAGCCCCAGACCCAGCGCCTTGTCATCCGACCCGCACCCCTCCTGTCCAACACCTGCGTCACCGCTGATAAGATCCACGGAGGCATCCGCCTCAACAGCACCCTCCCCTTCAACATCACCAGCAGCAACACCATCGTCTACCTCAACTGCACCGACACGCTCCTCCTCTCCCCCTTGGATTGCTCCTCCTCCAGCTTGTGTCACACCTACATCAACGGCACCGGAGACGCGACTCCTTGCGAGGACACGCCTATATGCTGTACTTTCAGGGCCGGTGGGTCAAGCAACTCCTACATGATTCGGGTCCGGGACGTGGGATGCAGCGCCTACTCTAGCTTCGTGAACCTGAACCCGTCCCTGCCACTGAGCAGCTGGCCTGAACCGGGGCTGGAAATTCAGTGGGTGTCGCCGAAAGAACCGATCTGCAGGTCCCAGGGGGATTGCGAGGGCGGGAACTCCACTTGCGCCCCGGACCCATCGACATCGAGAAACGGCATCAAGAGGTGCTTCTGTAACACCGGCCTCGTGTGGGACCCTTTTCAAGGGGTGTGCTCTGAACGTGAGTCGTTTCCGGTGACGTCGTTCTTTTAACAAAATTCGTGAGAGGCGTTGACTAACGGGTGCAATTTATTTGCGTTTGACCTTGCATGATTCAGGAATCACGTGTCGAAGTCCGAATGGTTGCGGCGGCTCTTCGAATCGGACTGCACTGATAGCAGGTTCGCCCGGATTCGCATCCTCTTGGAAAATATTCCGTCCGAAATATCCATCTTAACCGCCAAATATGCGCAGGTTTAACGAGCGGGATTTGCGCAGCACTGATAGTGGCCGTCATTGCGCTTCTTCTCTACAAACGCCACAAACGTATCAAGGAGGCCCGGGAACGCCTGGTCAGGGAGCGAGAGGGTATCCTGAATGCAAGCGGGGGAGGCAGAGCCGCCAAGCTCTTCTCTGGCAGAGAACTGAAGAAAGCTACCAACAACTTCTCCGGAGACAGCCTCCTCGGGGCCGGCGGCTACGGCGAAGTCTATAAAGGCATTCTCCACGACGGCAGCCTCGTGGCCGTCAAATGCGCAAAGCTCGGGAACGCCAAAGGCACCGACCAAGTCCTGAACGAGGTGCGCATATTATGCCAGGTCCACCACCGCAACCTCGTCGGCCTTCTGGGTTGCTGTGTGGAGTTAGAGCAGCCCACGATGGTGTATGAGTTCATAGAGAACGGGACTCTCCTCGATCACTTGCAAGGCCAAAATATGTCCAAACGGCGGGGTTCTCTGACTTGGTCTAATCGCCTTCGAATAGCTCACGACACGGCACAAGGTCTAGCGTATCTCCACTTCTCGGCTGTGCCTCCTATATACCACAGGGACGTCAAATCCAGTAACATTCTGTTAGATAATAAATTAAATGCCAAGGTTTCAGATTTTGGTTTGTCGAGGCTGGCTGAAACAGATTTGAGCCATATCTCGACTTGTGCTCAGGGGACGCTTGGGTATTTAGATCCAGAGTATTATAGGAATTACCAATTAACGGATAAGAGCGACGTGTATAGTTTTGGGGTGGTATTGTTAGAACTTTTGACGGCGCAGAAAGCTATAGATTTTAACAGGGCTGCGGATGATGTGAACTTGGCGGTTTATGTGCAGAGGATGGCGGAAGAAGAGATGTTGATGGAGGTGATAGATCCAGGGTTGACAAATGGAGCGACAACTTTGGAAGTGGATACTATGAAGGCTTTGGCGTTTTTGGCTCTGGGATGCTTGGAGGAGCGCAGGCAGAACCGACCTTCGATGAAAGAGGTTGTTGAGGAGATTGACTATATCATTGGTATTGCCTCCGCACAAGATACCCGAACTTAATTTGTCTATTGTTCCGTGTTTGTTGCTGTTCAGGGGGAAGATTCCAATGCTCCTTTTTTATTTGTGTGCTTATCATTTAAATGCATGTGTATTTCTTTAACGCGAATCAGTGATAGTAAACAGAGGATTTTTTTTTATTTTGTTTTTTGGGTACAAGATAGTAAACAGAGATTTGCTAAAGCAGTCTCATGTTCTGGTTCTCTGCATCTGAGAGGATAATGTTGAAAGTTGAATAATTGGGTCAGTGTTATGGGCCGAATTTGTACTACTTGTCTCTCTCTGTTTCTTTTTAACTGGATATATAGTCTGTGTACTTGCTGACAGTTTTGGATGCCCGTGTGTGACAATTTCCAAATTAATGAATTATTCAATTTTGTTCTGTTTTCCAACATGGTATCAAAGTCGGGTCAATACACAGACCCAATTTGTTTCATCAGTCTAACCCTAAACCTGACATCTTTGCAATCTTGATTTATCAATCCCTTCATCGCCATGTTCATCTTGCTCTCTTTTACTCAACAATCGCATCGTCAATCACAAACATCGCAGATCATCATTCCTTTTTCCTCCAAGATTCACCATGACAGAAAGCGAATCCACACGATTGTCAGCTTCCGCAATCGATATGAATCATCCACTCTCTAGTCACCCATTGGACACCCGAGCTTCAACCCTAATTGCTTAACTGCCTATCGGAAGCACAAATCATGCTATTTGGAATCGCGCCATGTGAATAGCTCTTAGAGGGAAGAACAAGATCGGCTTGATCGACAGTTCTTGTAAGAGAGAATCCTAGAACGAGGCACTTTAAAGTCAGTGCAACCGATGCAATGCAGTTGTCCTCTCTTAGCTAATTAATTCAGTCTCCAAGGAGATTGCAGCTAGTATTACCTTCTCTGAAAATGCCCAAGAGGTTTGGAATGATCTTCGAGAGCAATTTGATGTCGCCGATGGAACGAAAATCTACAGTCTTCATTTCTTTATCAACACATTTAGTCAAGGAGGTATGTTCATTTCAAGTTACATCACAAAGTTGAAAGAATTTTAGGAAGAATATTCTACAATGGTTCCCCTACCTATGGGTAAATGTCACTCTTCAGTTGAATATGCAAAGAACATTTAGCAACAAAAACTCTCTCTATTCCTCATGGGACTAAATGACTTCTACCAATCTATTAGAAGCCAAATTCTCCTTATGAACCTCCTACCGTCGGTTAATCAAGCATATTCTATGATTTCACAAGAAGAAGCACAGTGCTCCATTTCATCCTCTTCCTTTCAAACATCCAATTACTTACTACAACTGCAAGAGGTCACAGACGATATGCAGGGGGCCGTGGTAGGAGCAATTCCTCATATGAGTGTTCTTACTGCCATAGAAAGGGCCACATGATGGATAATTGCTTTTATATTATTGGATTCCCTCCAAATTTTGAAGGAGGGAATGAGAAAATCAACTCAGTTGAACCAATCAAATTTAAGCTTTCACTTCCCACAGTGCCTCCAAGCCACAACAGAACCTTTCATCTGATCACCAGCTGCTGACTCCAAATGACTATGAGAAGATTATTGATAAACTAAGGAAGGAAATCCAATCTCTTTCGGCTAAGACTCTCTCAGTAGGAGGAATAACTATAAAAGACTCAGGTGAGTCTTTAGGTTCAGATTTTTATTCCTTTTCTCATACCTCTACACATAATGCACAACCACACTGGCTATTAGACTTAGGAGCATCCTGTCACATAACGAGAAAATTATCTTTTCTTGATACTTATCAGGAATACAATGGGTCTCCACTTAAAACAAAGGTACCTAATGCTGATAAACTCACGGTCACTCCCATTGGTAGTGCTAAGATATTTGAAAATACTATTTTAGAAAATGTTCTATATGCACTTGAAATTTGTTAGGACTTGATATCCATATCTCGCTTAACAAAAGATCTGGAATGTGTGGTCACATTTTTTCCTGATGTATGTATTACAGGATCTCTCCAGTGGTAGAACCAAAATGATTGGTAGGAAGGAATCTGGTCTATATTTGGTAGATGAAAGCTTGACTTTACCATCTAATATTCATACTAGCAATTTTGTTTTTGATGATAATATCTGGCACTTAAGATTAGGGCACCTATCAGACTCAATTCTTAAACATGTAATTCCATTACAAGGCCCATTATATTTTATCATTCTTTTGGTTGTGATATTTGCTTTAAAGTAAAACAGTCTTGATTGTCATGTCCTTCTAGTCAAATAAAAACTGCTTGTTTTAATTTGCTTCACATTGACATTTGGGGTCCTTATAAACACCCTATTCATCAAGGTTACAAATTTTTCCTCACTATAGTCGATGATTTCTCTCGAACAACCTGGATTTATCTCATGAAACTTTCTATTATCTAAAACAATTCATCTGCCTCATAACAAATCAATTTTCTACTAAAATTTAACATATTCAAAGTAGAGCTAAATTTGTCAATGATGATGTTTTAACATATTTTACTAAAAATGGAATTATTCATGAAACTACTTGTGTGCGTACCCCTCAACAAAACAGGGTTATAGAAAGAAAACATAGGCATGTGTTAGAAGTTTCTTGAAGTCTAATGTTTCAGGCTAATATGCCTATTCAATTTTAGGGAAAAGCCATTAAAACTTTTGTTTATAATCAAAGGTCTTGAATTTTAAAACACCATATGAAATATTATATAAAAGGCAACTTGATTTGTTAAATATGAAAGTGGTTGGATGTTTGGCATATGGTAAGATTCCTGGGAGGTTAGATAACTTTAAAGCTAGGTCTGTAGAATGTATGTTTCTAGGATATCCTAAGAATCGAAAGGGATATATTCTTTATGACATTAAAAACGGTGACATTTTTGTGAATCGTGATGTTGTTTTTCTTGAAAGCAAATTTCCTTTTTCAGAACAATCATGTAATGTCAATCAACAGAATCAGGTGCGTTTGTAGGACCCTTTTATATTTAATGACATTCCTGATCCTATTATGTCTTTTGATTTTCCCTTGCAACCTGTTAGTGAGCCTATAATTGAATCAAATCAAAATAATAGCATGCCTAATAGTAACCCTAATTCTATTGATAAAACAAACAGCAACCCAGATATTAACAGACCCATTAGACATAGGAATCTTCCCAGCTGGGCTTAAAGATCATGATTGCTCTAACATGGACTGTCTGAACAAAATAGACAAGAAAGGAAATAAGAAGATCTTATATCCTATGCAACATATTATTGGCTATGCAAACATTTTTGAATCCTATAAAGATTTCATAGCTTTGACAGATGATATAAATGAACTTGATACTTCTAAAGAAGTAGTAAGAGATAAAAGATGGATTAGAGTAATGCAAGATGAGATAAGTTCTTTAGAAAACAATAGGACATGGGACGTATGGATTTACCCACAGTGAAGAAACCTCGAGGTTGTAAATGGGTCTTTAAGCAGAAGTTTAATACTGATGGAACCTTAAATAAGTCATAGGCCAGGTTAGTAGCTAAAGATTTTAGTCAAATAAATTTTTTTCCCTGTTGTAAAAATGACCACTGTTCTGTTAGTTTTAGCCTCAGAAGCACCGATACGTGAAAATGGCCAGCATGTCCGTGTCGGATATGTATCCGACACGGACACGTGTTCAGGACGCGGAAACGTCGCGTCCCTTTTCCCAGTTTTCGGCGAACGTGGGTGAACGTGGGTCGAGACGGGTTGACACGGGCAGACGTGGTCGAACGCGAAACTTTGCATTTTTCACTTTTTTTTACTTAGTCCCAACTCTAGAAACCTGGTGCCCTAGGATTCTCAGCTCCAGTCAACCCTTTTCTCGCGTTTGCCGCTTTGTCGCTTGCTGCCTCATCGACCGTCATAATTCTTCAACTCTGCGTTTTCACTTCTCACTTTGCACGCTGCCTCACCGTCTGAACTCTACCTCAGCACCTTCGACAGTCGTCGTTCTTCCATCTTCAGCTTTTAATCTTGGTAATTTATCTTTAGTTCTTCAGTCTTCACGTATTGGTGCCTGTCTGCCTGGGCGACTCTTCTGCTCTTCACTTCTTTTACTCTTCTGCGCTGAGCCCTCAATCTTGGATATATATTGATATTATTACATTATTGGTTAATGAATATTTATTACTTAATTTCACTTCTGAACTAAGAGAGAGAGAGGCAGAGCAACCTGATCAGGTTTTCTAATTTAATACTAAATTATTGATTTAATTTTTTTTATTTAGATGGATTATATTTGCTGAGTTAAACATTGATTTATTTTAAATTATATTTTTAGACATTCAAATATTTAATATTTAATTATTTATATAGCCGTACCTGTATCCTAAAATTTTAAAAAATAGCCATGTCCGTGTATCGTATCGTATCGTACTCGATACTCGTACCCGTATCGGTGCTTCTTAGGTTTTAGCCATTGCACATAATAAATGGTACATAATTCAAATGGATGTTGATAATGCTTTTCTTCAAGGGGACTTAAATGAAGAAGTCTATATGAAAATTCCTATGGGATTTAGTAAACAAGGGGAGAAAAAGGTTTGCAAACTAAATAAATCCCTATATGGTTTAAAGCAGGTAGCTAGATAGTGGAATGCAAAACTGTGTGAAGCATTAATTTTTGGTGGTTTTTTCAAAGCAAACATGATTACTCGTTATTTACCAAACTAAATAAAGATGAGTTTATTATTGTTCTAGCTTATATTGATGATCTTGTTATTACTAGAAATAGTCATGAAGGGATAAAGAAAACTGAAGATTTCATGCATGCTAATTTTAAAATGATGGATTTAGGATTATTAAAATATTTTCTTGGCATTGAGGTTGCTAAATCAAAAAAGGGTTTAATACTAAATCAAAGGAAATATACTTTAGACTTGGAAGCTGCCACTGGTTTAGGAGCCTCAAAACCAAGACATGTTCCTATAAATTTTAGGTTTAAAGCTTTACAGTGAACTTGAAAAGGGGGACAACGATGACCTATTAAAGGACCCTACTAGATATAGGCGATTGGTAGGAAAACTATTATATTTGACCACAAGTAGGCCTGATATAAGCTATACAGTCTAGTTACTGGGTCAATTTATGAGCAGCCCTAGAAAATCACATCTAAAGGTTGTTTTAAATGCTATCAAACATCTTAAAAAGGATCTTGGAAGAGGTCTCTTCTTTCCTTCTAGAAACATGAAGTTAGAAGGATATTGTGATTTAGATTGGGCTTCATGCCCAGAAACTCGGAGATTTGTTACAAGATTTTTAGTTAAACTAGGTAAGACTATTATTTCTTGGGAATCGAAAAAACAAACTACTATTTCAAGGTCTTTTGCTAAAGCAGAGAGAAGTGTTGTGTCTGAGATTATATTGTTTACTGGTTTATTTACAAATTTGCTTGTTTATGATTTAGCTCCTATGTATATTGACTTTGACAGCAAGGTTGCAATCCAAATTGTTTCAAATTCAGTTTATCATCAAAGAACGAAACACATTATGATTGACTGTCGTTGTGTGCATGAAAAGCTTCAAAGTGGGTTGATCAATTTAAAGCACGTGGTGTCAGGAGAATAATAAGCAGATGTTTTAACCAAGTTCTTGGTAAAAAAATGCATGAGCACATGTTGTATAAGTTAGGACCTTTAATATTTTTCAGTCCCACTTGAGGGGGAGTGTTGAGAGTTGAATAGTTGGGCCAATGTTATGGGCCGACTTTGTACTCCTTGTCTTTCTCTGTTTCTTTTGGACTTGGATATATATGTGTACTTGTTGACAATTTTGTATGCTCGTGTGTGGCAATTTTCAAATTAATGAATTATTCATTTTTGTTCAATTTTCCAACAGATAACCATCACGGCTTAATAGAATTGCTTTCATTTCTCATCCCTCTCTCAACAGCTGCAAATATTAATCATTTTGCGGGAAATGCGTGCTTATTGGGGTGGGGGGGGTTATTTTTGTTAGATCTTACATGTCATTCTTAAAAAGCACAAGAGGTAAATTCGTCAATACATGCTTTATACATAAGGAATCATTGCAAGATCTTCTACCTAACAAAAAACATGCAGCCTTTCATCATATTCATCAACTTGTGATAGAGAAATTGGAACAATTTTCAAAATGGCTTTTAGAGATTGGTCATGACAATTTAGCACTACCCAATGATGGCATTATAGAGATTGAAATCCCTTCAGAATTTGTATCCTTTTGTATGTACATGGGACTTAGGGTATGGTGTAGCTTATAACCACTTTTAATGCTGGAATAATCATTTTTAATGTTTTAATTGTAATGTGCGTTGGTTAAGTTTTTACTCTCATGTATCTTGCATGGGAGTTAGAATCTCATTGGATTGAAGTCCCGTTTGATTGCTAAAAAGAAATAAAATGTGATAAATTAAAAAAACAAAAATAAAAATAACATAATCAAAATGTGAGGAGAGACCTATTGCATTTATAAAGAAAAATAATAATTTATTTTATAAACTTGAGGATCATGAATCATAAAATTTTTAAAAAATTTAATGATAATCACATTTATAATATATGATATTAAATGTTATCATACTTATCATCAAGAAAAAGAAAATGTGATTTAGTTCATTATTATTTTAATTTTTTCAATCCTTTATATTCTCGTTCTTTCATTTAATTTTCTTTGTAAGGTGGGTGGGAAGACGGACATGACCCGAGTTGCATCGTGGAGGATCTACCAAGGCCCTGTTTGGTAGATGAAAACGGACTTGCATGGAAACAAATAAAAAGAAAAAAAAAATTTAAGTTAAAAAATAATCAAAAGGACATGAGAGAATGTGAAGTGACCGACTAATTTTCTTTCAATAAAAATAATAAATTGTAAAATTGGTATTGAAATTATATTTATTAATTCTTTATTGTTTTTCAGTATATACCAGGTTTTAAATATAACGACTTTCTTTTTTTGATTTTTTGGGTTAAGCTTATGGACACTGACTCGTGTGGTTCATACATAATCAGCAAACGACGTTGCCTTGGGCTTCCCATAGGACAGGCACGATCACCAAATGGGATCAACATCTGTCTAGACATTACACATTTACAAGCATGCAAGATAACTCAAGACACAAGAGGCAAACCACCACAACCATAACTACCAAAAATAAACCATTACAACCATGAACCTTTTTTCATTTTCCAAAATATTGTTCTCTCTACAGAAAATAACAAATTATACTGGTCTTCCACAAGGCAGTTCCCCAAACTGATAACAAGAAACTTCAGACTGAACAGTGACAGAAAGCACGACAAATTGCAGGACCGAGCTTGCACCACTCGGTCACTCCTCCCTATATTAGCAGATCCAAAAAACACAAACTCATTCTGTTCGGGAAATTCATCATTGTTTTAAGCAAACTAACCTGTTGAGTAAGCTTAAAGTGACAATGGATTGGGTATTCTCAGTCAGGGCACATTAAGCTGCTCATCCAAAGAACCAGACCTTGATGAAGATTGCCAAAGCTATTTGCAAGAAAAATGCTGCAATTATCATAACCGAAACATCACTTCCTTCTACGTAAGACCTGAGGTTCAGGGCAACAAAGCTTGCTGAGGCAGTACCGACAAGGATTATCACGAGCCACCGGACAATCTCAACAGGGATAAGCATTAGAAACTGAAAAAGTTTTAAAAGAATTATGTATCAGACCACAGCAGGAAACATGATCTTACAACACTTCTCTTTTGCATAAGTAAGGGCTCGATTTGGAAATCAACCAACAAATTCTGATAACACGCAAAGGACATGTAAATATAAGACATGCTCTGTTGAAAGCAGAAAGTAGAAGAAATGTGGTAGCCCTCCTCTCCAATGATGCAATCTTACCTGCAGTTAGTATGCATGTATTTACACTCCCTGCTATTTTTCAACGATATTTCACCAATAATAACACACAAAGTCAGGGGGAAAAACGATAAGCTCAATCGGAGAAGGCACAAACTCACGGAGGATGGGATGAAAATGGCAAGGGAATACCCCCACATACACCAAAACCGAATAAGGCTAGAATTTGAACCCATATACTGAAGCAAGAAGTAATATGCCAGCGGGACAACTATTGCATAGCCATAGATAGAACATGCAGCCACATTGACATAGCTGACATCAAAGCTCCATGAAGTACTCTTATCTGTTTGTTTTTCGATGAGATACGTTGCAAGATTTCCCAGTGAGGCAAGAACAAAAACTAACGTTGTTGAGATCCATATAAGCCCATATCTGTTATAACGGAAAAGATTTGCTTCATTAGATACTCACTATATGTGCAACGTTACTGGGATTTTATTCAATCATTTAAAAGTAAACAATAAATGGAAGGGAAGGAAAATATTTGCCTAGAGGTGCTGTATCTCCCTTGCAGTATCACAATTATGAGATAACGTTATGATTGGTAGATTTTAAGGTCATAATTCAGCATCTTTTTCCAAGGTTGCCCAGGATCAGTGTTCAAAAGAGAGAAAAGTATATTTATTTCAACAGCTTTAATATAATAATGGAAAATCTCATAGAGTTCTGGCTTTTTTGTCAGCAGAAAGGTTTGAATGTAAACACCAGATCTAATTTTGACCACAAAAAATCAGGCCTAATATCCAAAGTTTGAACCATGAAAATTTCAAGCATGCATTAAGTCAGAAAAATGACTAGTCTTGCATCAGTAAAAAGAACATAAAGATAAATATAAAAGGAACAGAGAAGGAAAAAATAACGAGAGAATTATATGCCATAATTTGTGCGAGGTCCAAGCATTTCCCATGTTATAGTAACAGTTGAAGTGTCAATAAAACTGTTCTCCAGGCATAACACTTCAAAATATAATTTCAGAATCTTGAACAATATCTCCTCACTTTTGAGCTCAAATGTATAGAAGCACGAGTTAAAAAGCATAACTCACAAATCAGGGTTAGCATCTATCTTGCTAAAAAAATCTCCAGCAACTGGATTCATGGAACTTATCAATCTGTTCAAGACAAGATCTGTGTCCACATTGAAATACTGTGTGTATGATGAGATACTAAAGACTCCCCTCCAGTCGTTTACTGGCTGTTGCTCAAATGCTTCTGCATGAATTTACAAGCCAGAAATATGTCAAGGAAGGTAATGCCACATGAAACGAAAATATAAATGACAAATGGTTTAAAATCAGTAGGAAATTATCCTTATCAAAGATAATATAAAGTCAGACTGTATACTATTTTGCAATCATTAATTCTCTTTTTGTGCGCATGCATGTTTATAAGCATAAGGAGCTTCTAAAAGCATACCCTCACATGCTTCTAATATCATTCTCAGAAAGTAAATCAGCTGTAAAAAAACATTCGTAGCTAAAATATGCTAAGATATTCCAAGGCAACAAAATGGTTAGAAAAAAGGGGCTATACAGGTTGTCATCCGGGAGCAAGCAAGGGGTACACTATTCCGTCAATCAATAAAACAAGCCAAAAAAGGGAAATGAAACAATTATCCAATCACTACTCTTACAGAGGGTCATACCAGTTGGACTTCCAAGAGTTTGATATCCCCTTCCTCTGTCTCCTCCATTGTTTGGAGGGAATATTTGCATATTTGCTCCAGGGACTGTAGTGTAGAACTGAAACTTTAATAACAGGCAATTATACACATCTTAACACATGAAGTAAGAACTTTGATATCACTTCATACCCTCATGGTTTGTGACATTCGTTTCTTCTGTTATGACAGCCTAGGCATGAAACATAAATAAGGATAAGCCAACAAAATAAATGAAGGGATACTGAGAAAAAGTACAGATTTGGATCATACTAATTTACTTTCATATGGGGTTCACATTTGAAAGGCAATGAAACACGCAAGCCACCGATGGAAGATCTCACATTAGAGAAAAGTACATAAGAGGCCCCTAGCCCCACATGTTAAGACATGGGCCATAGTTTACACTTTACATGACTGTAAGCAATCCTCTTATTGATTATTAGCTAAATTGCATAAAACTCCCATAATTTTAAGCCATGCGCAAACATGACCATTAAAATTTAATAATAAATCCCCTTAAACCTATAAATTTTTGTATATAACCCTTTTGCCGTTAATTAGCCCATTATCTCACTAACAAAGTATGAGACATCATTGAACACATATCCCCTTAAACTTTTTTTTTTTTTTTTTTTGGGTGATAACCCCCTTCAACATCAAATTATGTAGACATAACTTCCTGAACTTTAAATCATGTGCAGATGAACTCTTTGTCATCCTGCTTCATGCAATTAGTAAAGTAACGGATAAACTAATAATAAGGGAGTTATCTGCATAAATTTATAAATTCAAAGGAATTTATTGTCAAGTATCAACTGCTGGGAGGTTATCTACACATAATAGGGGTCATTTATCCCTAATTATTTTATGAAACAGAAGTTACTGCGTAAATCTGTAATTAATTATGAAAGTAAGCCATATTTCTAGAAAGCTTTAGGCTGTTAATTGTTTTTGTTTTATTGTTTTGAGAACTAGTATTTTGTAGAACATACTATGAAAATAAAATAAAAAATAAAAATAAGTGTTTTTTTCATTTTCTCATATTCTCTAGAACAATAATTCCATAGCACCTAAAAGATGTTTCCATTTTTCTATTCTCCAAAATAATATTTTAGTTTTTTTTTTTCCAAAACACTTTTTGAAAACACTTACCAAACAGATTTTTTTGTTTTTTGTTCTAGAAAATAAAAAACTGTTCCTCGAAGAAAACTGTCTGTAATATGAGCAGCCATAACCGATATTGTTGGTCCTTGAAGAAACGGTAATGGACTAATATAAACCTGAAACAAAAACAACTAAACAATTCCTACTTTAAAAACACACAGAACAAAGGATGTGCGAAACTTCCTTTCTCTAAACTGCCACACCGCACACTTGTTCCTTCCTCTAAACTGCCATAGCGAACACTTATTGCCTGCTCGTTATATGCTTAACAAATTCATCCATCTCCAATTCATAGATGGCTGTTTCCATATAATATGCATCAGCCTTGTGGTAAACCCCTTCTTCCCGTTATCCATGCTATCTTATATTTCCCATTTCACATTATCTTCTCTATCTAAGAGCGGCCATTGAAAGCCATCAGGAAGGACAGCAAGTCAAGGAAAGGAAGAAAGGAACCCTGTAAGCCCGCATCAGGCTTCGCAGGAGAAAGCACAAGGAAAACAACATTAACATATTGATTGACCAAGAGAGAGCCAGGTATGCGGCAATTTCTCTCTAGCAAGAAGATATGTGAAACTCTACCCTTTCTTTTGGGGCAATTTCTCCCGAGTGATTGCGGTAAGGGAAAACAATAGAACCTAGCCTTTCTTTTGTGAGCCGTAACTCTTTCTAAAAGAAAAGGCGAGATATCAACTTTCCATGTCTTTCATGGGAGGGAGCAACTCAACAGAGGGATCCGAGTAAACCGTGGAAAGACATAACAATAAAGATATCACAGGTAAAGACATACCAAATGGACGCCAGCGCTGTTAAAGATGTTGAAGACCAGAGATTTTTTGTTTTTGTTTAAAAAAAAAAAAAAAGAACATGAAGAAGACAAGAAAAAGTTTGTGACGATTTAAGGTACAGAGGGCAATACATGTATTTCGCATGTAAAATTGATCAGTCGAGTACATTCAATTTGTCGGAAATGAAACAAAGTGGTAAGATTTTGCGATAACGAAGTATCTCCACCACTAAAACCATCAGATCAGTTCATTTCTTTCGTTATCATGTAGCATAAAAATCACAAGAGTCAATAAGCAAGAAAGAGAAAGAAACAAGAGGGAGAAGTACGAACAGGAACTGAACCAAGCAAATGGCTAGTGGGAAGGCCGGTGTAGGACTCCTCCATCGTGTAGGGAGAAACACAGAAGCCTGGTAGCTCAAAGAGAAGAAGACATGGAAGCTCGGGAATTCAAAAATGAAAGGGAATTCCAGAGAGGGACTTAGAAGACGACACCAGAGATGAGGGGCTCCCAGGTGCAGGTTCTGGGTTGGGAACGGGATTTTTCGGGGTAGCTCTTCCCTCCGCTCACCTCTGAACTCTGACTTTCCTTTTTTTTTTTTTTTTTTGCCTAGATTTTTTTCAGTACATAGTGCAGGGCCTTGCTTTCCAGCCAGAGTAACGTGATCGGATGGAGATTGGGCTCGGCAAACCCAGCTTGATGGCCCTTGAAACACGTGCCCCGAGGATGTTCTTCGGCGAAAATTGCTATTTTTTAAAACAATGGATAAATATTTCATAAAAGATATTATGATGATGTAATTTTTTAACAAAAATGTACTGGATTTAAGTTACTCGTGATTTTAAAAGGTTCGAATTCTAACGCAAGTGTGGGGTAATAGAATATTAAACGGGTGTTATGTTCATGATATTTTAATTAATATGTAGCCCAGAAAAAAAGATATATTAATTGATTATTAGCGCATTAGCCTTATCAAAGTAGGATTTGATGAAACTCAAGTAATAAACAAATAGATGAAATTCATTGGAAGAGAAATATACGGGAAAAAAGAAAGAAGAAAATGTATCACATTTATTTCTCATTATTATGATCATCACATTCATGAATTCGGCTTTTTGACAATTGGGATGCTAAAATGGAGGTGGGTATCTGTTAACCTCTAGAAGTTCATGTTATTTCATCACATTTTTCTTAGATTCTAATCCATTTTGATTCAATTGTATATGTTTTTATTGCCCAAATTAGGAAAATGTGCATTTTGTTTTCGGCTTGTGTTCTTGGCTTTAATTTGATATTTTTAGCCTAATTTCATGTTATTTTGATTGAAGTTTTGATTAAAAGCATTTCTGGAGCGTTGTGGATGTTTTTGGAAGGCTTTTGGATGAAGAAATCAAGAGCAAAATGAATAATTTTCGTTAGCTGTAAAAACAGTGTAAAACTGCCAAAGTCGTCCCAAAGTCGTGACTTTCGTTCGCGACTTTCACCGCTGTCAGAAAAACGCTGCGTTTCATTTATCAGAAATTGGTTGGCTAGGTACATATAAGCTGAGAGCTCGACCCAAAACGCATTCTTCAGACTTTTAGACACCTTTGGAGCTTGGTTGTGCTAGGGTTTGGGCATTGGAAGAGTTGGGATCAAGAGATTGAAGCTTTGAAGACATTTGGAGCTCATTTTCTTCAGTTTTTCTATTCCTCTTCCCTTTCCTCTCTTGTAATCTGAAATGGGTCCACTTATTTTGTATACTTGTAGCTTGTGGATGATTATGAGTAGCTAAACCCTTTGTTCTAGGATTATTTAGAACCCTTGTATGGATTAACACCATATTTCTCCTCTCTTTTTGTGATTAATGATATATATGTGTTTATTTTACTCTTTCCTTAATGCTTCTACTTGATTGGCCACCATTTAGATGTTGGGTTCACTTAATTGATGCTTAAGAGGGCTAGGTTGAGTGTAGAACTTGGGTAAAATTGTGTAAGAACTTGATATTTGCATGTTGAATGGATGGTTTTGCTAGTAAGATAGAGATATACTTGCTAGCCTTGCATAGCCACATTAGGGTTGGTGTTTAAAATTGAGTTTTATTAATTGTAACAAGAGATTGGGCAATTAATTTAACTAAACACTTGTTCATGACTTGAGAGAGCTTGTCCAAGTATTTTTAGAACCCTAGGTTAGCACTTATTTTCATTAAAAGCATTTATGAGAGGAGGTAATTTTGGTGTTATGAAATGCAAGGGGGATAAATAATCCTAGGTCCTAAATTGTGTTGGAAGTTTGTGAATCACTCACTTTTCTTTATTTTCTAGTATTAGCTTTATAAGCAAAATTATTTTCACCTAACTTTGTGTAGCTCAACTTGATCAAATTTGCTTAGTCTTTTGCTTGATCATTGTTTTTGAATAAATCCTCGAGGGAACGATACTCTACTCATTTTATATTACTTGCTACGACCCGTGCACTTGTGGTGAGCAACAAGTTTTTGGCGCCGTTGCCGGGGATTTGCTTTTGAAAATATTTTGATCAACCTTAGACTAGTAGTATTAGATTTCGCTTGAGCTTTGTAGATATTAGTTCTAGATTTTTATTTTTTCTTTGTTCAGTGCTTTTGTTTTAGTTTGATACTTCTTGGGTTGTTTCTTCTTCAGGTACCCATTTGGCATATGCAAGTCATAGGCCCAGAAGGATTGGAAGTGATACTTGAAGGATTGACAATCTTTGAAGAAACCGAGTCTCCTAATTCTGAAAGAACTCCTGAATTGGGAAACATGGCAGAAGACCAGTATGACACCGCCTCAGTCAATGACTTTGCTAACCGGAATCTGAGGGGTACTCAATCTTGTATTCGAATGCCGGAGTTTCAAGCACATACTTTTGAGATCAAGCCCGCCATGATCACAATGCTTCAAATGAATGGTGTGTTTCATGGTCTATTCAATGAAGATGCTAACAAGCACTTGATGTCTTTTGTGGAAGTATGTGATTCTTTCAGACAAAATGGGGTGCCTAAAGATGTCTTGCGCTTGTGATTATTTCCAATTTCTCTACAAGACAAGGCTAAAGAATGGTTCAACAATCTTCCCGAAGGTTCTATTGGTTCATGAGAGGATCTTGAGAACAAGTTTAGAGCTCGATTCTTCTCTGATGATAAAACAGTGGAAGCAAGAGATGAGTTTCTTAGCTTTAAGCAATATCCAGAGGAACATCTCTATACAGCTTGGGAGAGATACAAGATGTTGATGAAGAAATGCCCTAATCATGGAGTGGACAAATGGGTAGTGATTCAGATTTTCTGTAATCGTCTGAATCCATCTTCGAAGGCCATGGTTGATTCTATCACAAATGGGGGATATCAGAATGTGCCTGTCAATGAAGTTTTTCGCCTCTTAGACCAATTGTCTGCGAATAACACTCAAAACATGGATAGAAGGAATACATCAATGGTGACTAGTGCTAAAGATGATTCCTCTTCCCAGATTGTATCCATCTTGAATGCAATGAACAAGCGTTTTGATGTGTTGGAATCTCAAATGCAAAGGGGAAATTCTCATAATGTGCATGCTGTCCAAGCCATTCCAATTGTGTGCAATCAATGCAATGATATGCACACGCCCGATCAATGTCCTCTTTATATGACCACTGAGTCTGTCAACTATATGGGCAAGTTTCAAAACCCTCACAACAACCCTTACTCTCAAACATACAACTCAGGATGGAGGAATCATCCTAATTTTTCATGGAGTCAAGGGAATTCTTCAAATCAACCTTCATCCTCTAATGTCAAGCCACTTCATCCTCCGGGTTTTCAAGCTCCACCAAAGCCAATGCCGGTTAAAGAAGAGGAGTCTAGAATGGAAAAGATGCTAGCACAAATCTTGAGTAATCAAGAGTCTGCAAGAGTTAAACTAAGGCAACTCTTACTCTTCATGATACCGCAATCAAGAACCTCGAAGTGCAAATGGGGCAATTAGCTTCACAAATGAATGCTATGTCAAGAAGTAATCTCCCTAGTGACACCATTCCAAATCCTAAAAGGGATGGTAAGGAGGAGTGTAAAGCCATCACTTTGAGAAGTGGGATGCAATTACCCGAAGTTCTTATGCCAAGTGCAAGTGGTGTGAGTAGTGATACTACTAAGGTGATTGTTGATAATGAAGTGATTAATGAAGAAATTATGGTTGAAGAGTGTGATAACTCGAAGAATGACCAAGAAGAGAAAAAGATTGAAGATCAAGCCAAAAAGGTTGGTGATGAGAAAAAGCAACTAGAGGCCAAGCCAAAATATATGCCTCCACCACCTTTTCCTCAAAGGCTTAGGAAGCAACAAGAAGATGGCCAATTCAAAAAGTTTCTTGATATGTTCAAGCAATTGCATATCAACATTCCTTTTGTGGAAGCTTTGGAGCAAATGCCCAAATATGCTAAATTCATGAAAGATGTGCTCTCTAAAAAGAGAGGTTCAATGAGTTTGAGACGGTTGCTCTAACAAAGAGTTGTACGGATATCATTAAGCAACTACCTCAAAAGTTGAAGGATCCCGGTAGCTTCTCAATTCCGTGTCATATTGGGAATAAATTTTTGGGTAAGGCATTATGTGATCTTGGAGCTAGTATCAATCTTATGCCTCTCTTATTTTCAATAAATTAGAGTTGGGTGAAGCTAGACCAACAACCGTGACTTTGCAATTAGCGGATAGAAGCTTGGCTTATCCACGTGGTGTTATTGAAGATGTTCTTGTAAAAGTGGATAAATTCATTTTTCCGGTTGATTTCATTGTCCTTGATTGTGAGGTGGATCGTGATATTCCTATTATCTTAGGAAGACCATTCTTGGCAACTGCTAGAACCTTGATTGATGTTGAAAAAGGTGAGCTTACTATGAGGGTGGATGATGAGCAAGTCACTTTTAACATGCACAAGTTGATGAAATCTCCCAAAGATCTTGAGCAATGCTTCTTTGTTGATATGCTTGATCAAGTTGCACAAGAAGAATTCAATAAGGCAATTCCTAATGATTTTTTAGAAGCCTTGTTACTAGGAGCTCAATTAAAGACTCAAGATGGAGAAGAGTGTATGGCTATCATGAATGCATCACCGGTTTATCCTAGAAACCGTGTCCAATTTGAATCTCTAGACTTATCTTCTCTTGGTAGACCATCTTTGAAATCCTCTATTGAAGAGCCACCATATCTTGAGTTGAAGACATTACCTTCTCATCTTCGGTATGTCTATTTAGAAGCCAACAACACTTTGCCAGTGATTATTGCTGCGGACTTGAATGAACAACAAGAAGAGCAACTTGTGGAAGTCTTGAAAGCTCACAAGAGAGCTATTGGGTGGACTATTGCCGACATAAAGGGTATTAGCCCTTCAATTTGCATGCATAAGATTTTCCTTGAAGACAATCATAAAACTTCTGTGGAACATCAAAGAAGGTTGAATCCTATTATGAAAGAAGTTGTGAAAAAGGAGATCTTAAAATGGCTTGAGGCGGGCATTGTCTATCCTATTTCTGATAGCTCTTGGGTGAGTCCAGTTCAATGCGTTCCAAAAAAGGGAGGCATGACTGTAGTGGCTAACACCCACAATGAGCTAATTCC